GGGGCGGAGGGCGCTCAGCCGTAGCTTTGGGGGGCAGCCGCTGCCCCCTGGCCCCCCTGGGCATGGGTGCCCATGGGGCAGCGGCGTTGGATCCCTGTCCTGGTTAACTCCATGCCCCGGCTCGCAGGTGACGTGCAGGACGTGCTGGGTCACAAGGCGGAGCTGGGAGAGGTAAGGGTGCCACAGGGCCGGTGCCTGGCTGTGCCGTGTGCCACAGAGGGGTAACCCTGTCTCTGCCCCTGCCAGAGGCCAGAGCCAGTTGACTTCTCCTTCAACCCGCTGGCGGACCTGCGGTTCCAGTTCTGGGACCCCAGCCTGCTGGAAGCTGTCAAGCTGGGCGACCCCCACGTGCACGAGTTCTTCCGCCTACTCTCGCTCTGCCACACTGTCATGTCCGAGGAGAAGAGCGAAGGTGGGTGCGAAGGGCAGGACCTGTCCCTGCGCGGCCCGGGGTGCGGCGCTGGCTGTGACCCTCTGTGCTGTCCCCAGGGGAGCTGTTTTACAAGGCTCAGTCCCCGGACGAGGGAGCGCTGGTCACAGCTGCCAGAAACTTCGGCTTCGTGTTCCGGTCCCGCACACCCAAGACTATCACGGTGCACGAGCTGGGTCGAGCCATCACCTACCAGCTGCTGGCCATCCTGGACTTCAACAACATCCGCAAGCGCATGTCCGTCATCGGTGAGGTCCTGGACACATTACAGGGGCTGTGGGGCTGGGAGGGCTGCGGTGGGGCCGGGGGGCGGGGGCTCGGTGCGGTGTGCTGGGGACCAGCCCCACACAGATGGTGACATGACTGTGGAGGCATCGTGGGGTCACGGCTGGGGGTTGGAGTGGGACCTCCTCCTGCACCCCTGAGCCAGGCAGCTTGTCCCCTGCTCCCCACAGTCCGCAGCCCCGAGGGCAAGATCCGGCTGTACTGCAAAGGTGCGGACACCATCCTGCTGGAGCGTCTGCACCCCATCAACCAGGACCTGACCAATGTCACCACCGACCACCTCAATGTGAGTGGGACGGGGTCCTGTGGGCAGGGCTGGGAAGGGAAGAGGGGCTGCCCAGAAGCGTGGAGCCTGGCTTGTGCCCTGTCCTGGGGGGCAGTCAGGGTCTGGGGACACCGTCAGGGTCTGCCTGTGCACTCAGCTCCGGCCGCTTGCAGGAATATGCTGGCGAGGGGCGGCGGGGG